CATATATATATATATATATATATATATATCAATAATGTACAATATTAAGGTGATGTTTCTGTTGGAGACTTCTTTTTCTTCAATAACTTATATGTATCTTTTGACAACAAATAACTGACACCTCCAGCAATGGTTGTGATTGCTGTTACATAACATAGACATTGTAGAATCGGATGGCCTACAAAATGATAAACCGGAGCAGCCAATGTTCCCGCAACCAAAGTTAATTGCACTCCAGTGTTTAGCTTGCTTGTTAGGGTTGGTGCTAATTGTACAGTGGCATGTGTAGGATCAAAATATCTTGCCAAGGTTTTCTGAAGTTATAATAAATTTACATCAATCTTAATCCATCGATATACCAAGATGAACGATCATATGACGTAATTAATAGATTTCGATACATACTGGTGGCGGTAAGGAACGATATCTAATGTAAGATGCAGCAGTCACCAGAGCAATATCGCGTGTAACTACCAGACAAGCGAGTGGAACTGGTATCAGACCAATCCATGCTAGAGAGAGAAACAATGGCCCTACAAGCAGCTTGTCTGCGACTGGGTCTAAAAAGCTTCCAAGTTTAGAGGCTTGCGACGTCCAAGTACGTGCAATCCATCCATCTGCGAAATCACTGACTCCTGCACACACAAGCAACCATAGCGCTATCTACGCCATGATTTTAATAAAGTTATTAATTTATTTATTACATCATTTATAAATTTTTTCATTTAAAATGTTAAATTGCACCTGATAATCTTGTGACAAGATCAAATAACTTAAGAAGGGTGATGACACAATACGACCCATGCAAAGCAGATTCGGTATGGTCCAGATATTTTCTCTCTCAATAATCTCTTCTACTTTTCTTTTTGTATGTTTAATATCTTGCAATATACGCATTCGTAATGCTTTTCTTCGATTCGCTTTTTCTTTTGTATCAATACAGTGTCTTAAACGATTTTCTGTTCCTATGACGTAGAATCGTGCTTGCCATATTAGATAATGCTTTACACATTGCTCTATTAATCCTTTGTTTAAAATTGTTGATTGTTTGAATCGCAAAATAGTAAAGTAGCTCATAATTATTTGTTCCTATCTGAGATAGAATAAAAATAAAAACTGTTAAATATCTTTGCAATTAAACAATAACTTGAGTGTCCAAGAATTAGCAGAAAGTGGATACGTCACGTTATTCCTGATGAAACTTCGATCAATTTTTCTATAATAAAAATGTCGAAATATAATTCATTAAAAATAAAGTTTTTCTGCACATTAAACAGCGGGAATAAATAATGTTAATGTTAAGTCGCAGATCGTATTTGAAGCAAATTTTACTATAATGGAACATCAATTTAAGTGGCTTAGTTATTAAAATATCGTTAAAATTTCTTAATGTGTAAGAAATAATAGCCAGAGCAATCTCTGGCTAAAAAAAATATAAATGTCAATACAATAATTAATCTATAAACAAAGCACCACCTGCGTGTTCGACTTTATACAAATTCTAGGACAAATTGTATGCATCGTGTGAAATGGAGCACAAAATATTTCAAAGATAATTATACTACGTACAAAAATGCCCACATATCTTTTATATATTCACGATTAGTGACTTTTATAGGTTAAATTCGTGAAACAACAACATACAGCACAAGAAAACATTCCATCGCCGAACATGAATGAACCCACGAGCAGTGACGCCAGATTTGAGACGCAAACAGCAAGCAGCAGGGAGGAATACCGCACATGCGCAAGTCATTTGCGCTTCGGCTAGCTTCAACATTAGAAAAGAGCAGACGTACTATTTCTGTCTCCTTTCTTACGCTCCATTTTATCCGGGATTTTAAAATATTGTTAACAGGAGCACATGATGACAGAGGAGCTCATTCGTAACAGTACAATCTATTGATTAATTAAAGCAACATTACGAATGCATTACGATGGTGTACCGACTGTACTACGAATGAGCTCCTATATCATCATGTGCTCCTGTTAACAATATTTTAAAATCCTGGATGAAATGGAGCGTTTTGGGTCAACAGATATTATAATTGAAACCTTTTTACATACTTATTTTCGCTTCTGTTCTACTTTTGACAGTGTTAGGATGCTTGTAAAACACTCAAATAATTAAAACGTCTTTTTTTTAACTTTTAGAAAGTTTTTTGTTGCAAAATTCTAAATGCCAATTAGAGAAATTAAAAAACGACGTCTTTTTAGGACGTTTTTAGGATGTCTTAAAGATGTCTTTTATGTCTCATGCTGCTTATTGCTTGCGTCTCAAATCTGTCGTCACTGCTACGAGCGTGCTGCAACTGCGCACGTGAATAGGAAAGCTTAGAACTATCAATACACGATATTTGCATTCGGATTCATAGGACTCTTATCAAATTATTGCTAAAGAAAAATTGATTATGTTTAGTTTGGTTCTGTAATAAAAAATGAAAAATAAATTAACACGTAAAATAAAAGAACATTCTGTTCAACGGATATGATGCATCACATTGATTGCAAAAATGCAGTGTGTGGGATAATAATGAAAGTAAATATACAATGTTTTATCTACAATATATCAATTTTTTTCTATTTAGATAACTGAAGACAGTTTTTCTCTCGGATTTGTTTTTAGCAACCCGAATCTTACATTTTGTGATCCTTGTTTAAACCGACGGTCAATTCGTACTTCGGGCCATCCTGTATAGTATGAGCCGACAATAAACCGAACGAGTACGTTTTTAGTGTATCTTAGCAGTGGAAGCTGAAATAAACAATGTCAGAAGAAAAAAGTGAAAGGTAGTGATTGTACGAGTTACATATTACTCGTTTCACATGTATACTCCCTAATTTTGTACAAATCGTCTCTTTGTTTATATCCAGTGTATTAAGAAGTTGACGTTGAGGTTAAGTTGACATTATGTTTTTATTGTTTGTTTCATTGTTAGTAAACAACTCAAGTACAGATCATTTAACAATTTTATTCTAAAAGATTTGACAGTGGAAGATCAATGTAGAAATTATATAATTTATGAATTTTGATTATTGGTGTGATTTGAGAAAGAAAAGAAATGTAAATTAAAATTCTAAGGAATGAAAAGCCAAATAATGTAAGAATTGACAGATTTAACGATATACAAGACATTAAATAATTTTATAAATAATAATCATAGAATTTAAAAATGTAGACAATCAGTTTGTAAAATTCAAAAGATTTAAGTAGTCAATATAATTATATAAAATATATAAGTTATATCATAGAATTGAGATTGTTATTTAATTGTAATAAAAGAATAATTAAAAATATATAAAAATAGTTTGAACGAGAAACCAGAGCAGATTGAAGTTACAGAAGAAAAGATGAAAATAAAACTTGACGACAAGAGCAAGCAAAAATCTAAGCAGGATGAATCAGCAGAGAGATCTAAAGATGGTCAGCAAAACGGTAACAATGAGAGTGGAAATTGCTATTGGTAATTATTTACAACTAATCTTATTGATAACATTTTTCTTCTTTGCAATATTGTGGTATTAATACAAATCACATTACAGTGGCAAGGAGAGAAATCTAAATATTGTGGAGCTACTTTGTGCGAGCTGTTCACGATGGTTTCATGAGTCCTGCATCGGATATCAGTTGGGCAAACTTGTACCTTTCATGATGAATTATGTGTTCATGTGCAAGAATTGTTCACCAACCGGCTTAGAGAGCTTCAAGAAGAACCAGGCACGTAAGTATGCTAGAAAAAATCAACAGTACTGTTAGTTTACATATCGCAAAATACAATATTCAGATACTAATTGTGATGCTTCGCCATTTCCAGCATTTCCGCAAATGTGTGTAACAGCAATCGCAAACTTGCTGCAGATGTGCCAGAAAGAAAGTGATCAAAAACTTCTATTTCACAAGGACAAGGATATCATACCATTCATTGAGTGCCATTGGGAGAGTATGACGACAATGCCTCGTAGAGTCACTCAGTCCTGGCATGTCACGGTATTTAATAAAACTCTCTCACGGTAGTTAGATTATGAAGTGACAATCGTTTTTAATGTTTCTTATGTTACACGAGACATGGAATCATAAAAAGAATTTGATTTCAAATTTTATCGCGAGTTTAAGATGAGTTTAACAAACAATTCATCTTTTCCAGATCCAGAAAGCGTTGCTCAAGGATGTCGGAACTCTATTTACGATGGATGACAATACTTCTGAAGGTCAACTTTTCGGCCTGGCGAATTCTGATCTTACATTAATTAAACCGAATTATGAGGCGATGATTAAAAATGGTCACCTTCGAGCGACAGAAATGGGTCTACAACACGTCGGTATGTATCGACTACTTTATTTTGATTATTATCAATATTACAATAAACTTTCTGTTTCTGTTTCAATTTCTGTATGTTCTGATCCTATTCTTTTTTATATTAATTATATATTATTTATGGATTTATTCCATTATTTATGTACATTTCAAGCTGTTACTTTAAGTTTCCTTAAATTAGAGAAAAATCAATGATATGTACTTCTTAAAACTTCCAGTTAAATTTCCATTTTTTACTCACCTTTCAAACAAATAATATTTTCCAACAAGCAAACTTTGTTGCACATATATGTATATTTGTCATTCTTTATCTTATCGCGAACGCAATCTTCGACTCGCTATCAGGAAACTACCCAAGTTTGAATCACGATACAGAAATCGAGTTAAACTCTCAATAAACTTTGCCCTCAACGAGATACCTCACTGTAACGCCGTAACGTTGTCTTTGATATCGCAATCATATCATTTGTATATACCATTATATAAACAAGAAATTCATATCATTACGGCAATTAATCAATTAATTTTGGAAAAAAAAACTAATTATCGATTTTGTTTCTGAAATACATTAGAAAACAAGTAAGAGTGATTGAAAACAGAGGGAAAAGGATTAATAGAAACGTAAATGGTCGTAAATTATTGAGAGCAAATTGAACACTAGCTAAAATTAAAATATTATAATGGAATATTCAGTACCACTTAGCGGAGGATTGCGGGGTCGCAATGCTAAGCGAAAATTTCCGGGCGAGACGACTGGTACAGGCTCCGGGAAGAAGGGCAGGGGGTCCGACATGACTACCCCCAAGCTACCAGCTCATGGTTATCCATTGGAGCACCCCTTCAACAAGGATGGCTACAGATATATCTTGGCAGAGCCAGATCCCCACGCGCCTTTCCGGCAGGTATGATTTAATCTTTCAACATGTGTGTGCATGTGCGAATCTTATGCAGTGCAAGGTCAGAAATCTGCGAATGCCACAAATATTTCAGAATAAAAATAAATGGTTTTAAACAATTAATTATAAAAGCTTCTCGTTATTATTTTTCATTGACATAAAAATTTGAACATCTGCACTTTTAGTTTTACTGGTATTTTTATTTTGTCTTGCCGGGAATTTTGAAAAGACACGTTTTATGCGGAACAATAAATATCAAGTATGTTTTCGATATTTGCAGGAGTTTGATGAAAGCAGCGATTGGGCTGGTAAACCTATACCCGGTTGGCTGTATCGTGCTCTTAGTCCGAGCACGGTTTTGCTGGCGTTGCATGACCGCGCGCCACAGCTTAAGGTAGCTGAGGATAGATTGGCGGTCACTGGAGAAAAAGGATATTGCATGATCAGAGCCACGCACAGTACGTGACAATTTTCAGATCTCTAGCAATCTATCGAGACACGCAGTAGCATTTCGCGTCAGGTAAACTCATAGTGAGATGTACGCTATGGCATATCCTTTGCAGAAGAAATAGGTTTCTTCTGGGAAATAATTTGATCAAACTTTTAGATAAGACAATTCGCTCAAAAAACAAAAAGAAAAAAAAGAAGGAAATAGCACATTCGATAAAGCGAATCTGCCGTGTCTGCTTGGTCTGTGACTCTTTGTAAAAACATCGTTCTAATTGCATTTACCAACACATTCACAGGTGTAAGCAGAGGCACTTGGTACTGGGAAGCCACGATTGAGGAAATGCCAGAGGGATCCGCAACGAGGCTCGGATGGGGACAGGAGTACGCAAACCTGCAAGCTCCACTTGGTTATGACAAGTTTGGTTACTCGTGGAGATCCAGGTATCAAATTTTCATTGATTACTATACATATTAAAGACCAGATAGTTAAAAAATATTCCCTTACATTTTAATTCGCATAACTGCATTTTTCTTGTATTTTTCATTCTTGTTTCGAAACATTTATACGTACGTAGCCATTATTTATATTATTCTTCATGTATCTCGTGAGAAATGTAAGATATGTGCTTCCTTAAAGAAAAATAAAAAATTCAAATTTTCTGGCTTCGACAGAAAGGGTTCACGCTTCTACGAAAGTCGAGGCAAACATTACAGCAGTAGTTACGGCGAAGGTGACACCTTGGGTTTCCTCATAATCCTGCCGGATGCACACGATGCATCGCACATTCCGAATACTTACAAAGACAGAGTGAGCATAAGTTTATTTCAATAGAAAAAATTAAAATATTGAGATTTCAGTGGTAATTAATTAATTTTTTGCATTATTTTAATTGTTCCAAATTAGAAATAAATTCCGTTTATTGAGATATCTGATAATAATAGTAATATGCACCTCTCTATTTTGAAATTAGCCTTTAGTGAAGTTCAAGAGTCACCTGTATTACGAGGAAAAGGACCAAGTGCAGGAGGCCCTTAAAGCCCTGCGATTTCTGAAAGGCAGCAAGATTGTCTACTACAAGAATGGGGTCAACCAAGGCGATGCTTTCATAGACATCAACAAGGGCGCTTACTATCCTGGGATCTCAATTTACAAGAGTGCGACAGTATCCGTGAATTTCGGACCAAACTTCAAGTGTCCGCCACCTGATGTTGCATTTAGAGGCGTAAGCACATTTGCATTATTTATTTGTACTTTACGATCGACAATATCTTTTTTTTCTTTACGAGTGAATGGCAAACGGCTTGAGGATATAGAATTTACAATTTAAATCAATTTATTCACATTATTCACGATGATTTTTCATGAATGAATTCCAAGTTTTGTGAAAGTGAAAAGTTTTTCTGTTCTTCTGAACTTTATATTCTGTTATTAACAACATTAATAAAACTACATTATTATTACAGATGCATGAAAAAGCAGAGGAGGCGATAGCCGAGCAGTCGATGGCAGATATGCTTTATCTCACCGAGAACGAAGGCAAACTAAGACTCGATACATTCGTGTTGTGACATTAGTGCATCTTTTTATTTTCGTATTTTTCGTTGTGCGTTATTAATAGAAATTGTTATGATTGCAGAGTTTACGGTGGTTCACAACACATGGCGAAAATAAAATCTTAAGAATTTTTTATTTGTATTTTTACAAAAATTCATGCGCGTTCCAAAACTTTTGTTCTCTTACAGTTCTCTTCTCTTGTTAGTATATTGAAGAATAAACCGAAAGAAAGCTTGAATGCTAAATCTCATCAATGATTTATAATCCTTGCGTGCCAAATTTTCGCCATGTAGTTTATCATGTTGTTGATCAAAATTCTGCAATTAAAAAATCTAGTGCAACAGCGGTCTTTCGAAAAAATAATTCAATTTCCATTTTAAGAGAAAATGAGAGTTCAGAAAATAAAATTGGAATTGATTTTTTTAAATTATAGAAAATAGATTACAATCTATTGCATTGAATACTTTCAGATTTTTAATTAATCTCTAATTTGCATTACAATTTAACTATTTAAAATCGTCGATTATCCTGTGTTTTAATTCTGCAAATTAAAGAAATATTTTTAACTTTATTTTGCTTTATTCGATATAAAAAACATTTTATATGCAATAATCTAATAAAAACTTCATATTAGTTGCATGGAAAAATATTTCTAGTCTATATATATTTTTAGATATTTATACTCTTCATAAATTATGATTACAATTTAAGTTATTATTTTGAGTTATTAAACCCATAAAATGACATCATTTTCCAAAGCCGCCTCTGCAAGCAGGACTCGCAGATATCGTTTTATCGCTCACTTCCCATTGCTCCGGTGTTTTTGCCTGGAAAAATATCAGAATAATAATATACAACTTTTATTTGATGTATTTATCGAATTTGAAAGACTGAACTGTATTTATCGTATTGGTGAGGAGCTAATTATTAGTAGACAACTTACTATTATTGATAGAGCATGTACTCCTTCTTGTAGTTCTGTTTGCAACAACTCGTTTATCATTCGGTGTCGCTAAATTAATAATTGAATCAAGTGTTGCTTTTATTACGTTTTGATTATTATGTCAGAATAATATTTATTATTTAATTTCACATTACAGAGAATGTTATAAATTAGAATCGTTATAAGAAATGTTCTACAATTTGTTTTTTATATGATTTACTTTTATATCATTTTTATGCTACATTTCATATTCTCAGAATTAATCAAAGCAATAAATTAGTTTGAAGCAACAAATTAATCTGAAGCAAGATATAATATTTGTAATTAAAGAATTACATCAAAATCTACAATCTTACCTTGATTAATGGTTGCTTGTCAAACTTGTCTGACACAATTACTACTTTGAAATGTGTCTCAGAGCCTTTAGGAACATTGTGCATGTAGGATTCATTAATGATGTCACAATACAGAGGTTTCAGCCCGGCTTCCAGCTTTTTTCTTATCAAACTTTCGACAGGTCTGCTCAACGTTTCACCACTACTCATGTTTTGCCAACAGAATATGCTATCTATGTTAACAATTTTGATTTAATTCACATTTATACTTGTCATTCTACATAAATCATGTATGAATATATTAGATGAAAAGTCCTAAACTATATGTATAAGAGTGCAATTGTATACAATTGCTACAATTCAATCAATATCAAGGTGCAAGAAAATTACACCAAAAAGTATATATAAACTATAGTTTACTCTTAACAAAATAAAGTAAAAATAAAATTAGTGTCAAGAAAGTCTGTTTTTGACAATTATACAACCGAGTCTTCAAATATAATAATATATGTGTACATTTTTTATATGATCGTCTTGTACTTCAAAATAATTACTCTACGTATATGTAATAAATTTGTAATTTATACAATAATATAAGATTGAGGACAAAATGGTAATAAATAAAGACATAATCAATTTTGTAAAAGAACTTTTGTTTTCATTAATTTAGCCTAATCTCACTTTAAATTGTAATAACCTACGAATTACCTGCTCGAATTATTAATTTTCTCAGCTGCCTTGCTTTGTACATTTATGTGCAATTGTTTATATTGTTTTCTACACATAGCATTGTACAATTAATTTTTAAGTTAAATTTGTTTTTGTCTTAGAAGATGGATCGTCAAACAAATTGTGATCGATTCATTATAGGTTAAATTAGGTCGGTTAGGTTGGGTTAGGTTAGGTTAAAATTAGACTAGACTTGGACTAGACAGTTCAGGTATATGAAATGTATGTGATATATATCTTATCTCCATCCTTTCAACTAATTAAATTAATTGATTAGCACGTCACATAGTATGACAGCAATAATTTTATATGCTAAAAATAAGGTCTACCTTCTTACGTAGCGCTCTAAAGAAAACAGCACAAAAATATGTAATGTAATTCTATATTATTACAAAATAAATTTTAATTTACTTGAAACTATTTGAGATATAATGTGACTTATAAATCTAAACATGCTATCGATTGAGTTGAATTGATTCCGAATCGCAATCAAAGAATCTATGGGCTTGTTCGTTTTAGCTGCACTGGGGCAGCTCTGGGTCTGCTCTAAACAAGATAATACAGGACAAACTATTTATCTGTCCTGTATTATCCTGTGTAGAGCAGAACCCAGAGCAGCCCCAGTGTAGCTAAAACGAACAAACCCTATGTTCGTGAACCTAGCATATCATTTTCCAGCAGATCAAAAATAAAAGAGAGTTCTTGTCGCATGCAGTCGAGTTCTATAGTTCCTTATAGTTTTTAGTAATAGTTCTGGTGATTTAT